ACATTTTGCCCTGAAGCGTAGGAGACTGAAGGGTGACCTTATAGAGGTATGTAAAATCATGAGGGGCATGGATAAGGTAGATAGCCAATAGCTTTTCTCCATGGTAGGGGAGTCTAAAGCTAGAGGGCATAGGTTTAAGATGAGAGCGGAGAGATAACAAAAGGGTCCAGAAGGGCAATTTTTTCACACAGAGGATGATGAGTGTCGAGTGTCTGGAATGAGCTGCCAGAGGTAGTGGTGGAAGTGAGTACAATTTTGTCATTTAAGAAACACGTAGACAGGTACATGGATGGGATAGGTACTGGAGCATATGGACCAAACGCAGGAAAATGGGATTATTTTAATTGTGAAAACCAGGCGGCATGGGCAGGTTGGGCCAAAGCACCTGCTTCCATGATGTAAACCTTTATGACTCCAGTCAGGAATAACTTAGGCCAGTGACTGCTAGGGAGCAGCACAATATATGAGTCAGTGTTCTCTGTCTGAGTTGAAAGTATTTAAGTCAGTCAGATCTCCTGGCGTCCATAAATCTTGAACATTTCTTGAAGAGTAAGAAATGGCAGAGTACGACCACTTTCAGATTCATCTCTGATTTCAGGCTCTGGAATCTATTGAACCAAGTTGTTCAACAGCACGTAAACAATTATTACACACCGTGATGCATCAAGATTGCACAGGTAGCTTTTAAAAGCTTGGGATGCTGCTTGGAGGGCAGCTAGCTTTATCTTTAGAATTTGAATCTCAAAATTAGACCCAGAAAGTGGGAAGGAAGTTGGTACCTTTCAGAGACATTGCCAGCATCCAGTCCCTTAGAATTAGAATAATCTGAGTCAGCAAGACAGTTTTGAACTGATTCTACTTGGAAATTTTTAAAAATTCCAAGCTCCATTATTGAAGCAAGAGTTTTGTATTGTTGATAATAAAATACCTGTAACAAAACCTTGTTCCTTCTGATCAGAATTTCTTTTTCAAGTTTTTTCTGACACCAGCAACATGAACATTGGTTTCACAGCTGGGACCAACAAATAAGATTATTGGACTCACCGGTGAAACTGGGCGGCAGTGAAAGGGCGGCACGGTGGATCAGTGGTTGGCACTGCTGCCTCACAGTGCCAGGGACCCAAGTTCGATTCCACCCTTGGGCGACTGTCTGTGTGGAGTTTGCACGTTCTCCGTGTCTGCATGGGTTCCCTCCGGGTGCTCTGGTTTCCTCCCACAGTCCAAAGATATGCAGGTTAGGTGGATTGGCCATGCTAAATTGCGCGTAGTGTTCAGGGATGTGTAGATTAGGTGGGTTATAGGGGTTTGGGTTTGGGTGGGATGCTCTGAGGGTCAGAGTGGATTTGTTGGGTCGAAGGGCCGGTTTCCACACCGTAGGGATTCTATTCTAAGAAACTTAACCAGAGGGAAAGTATTCCCGAGGATCTTCAAGACCCATACATTTGTCAAGAATCTTAGTCACAAGCCTGTGTGCACAGCACCTAACCTCCAAATAAGTGGCAAGGAGTGCAGGCAGCAATAGGAAGTCATTGATGTGCTGGTCATGATATAAGCTCTTCTTGTATGGGAAACCTGAAAATCCAAATACGTGCCCATTGTGTTAATTGAAGAATGGCTTTAGAAGGGAATCCTGCTTTTTCTTAGCTACATTTCAATTATTTTTGGGCTCTCTTGCTGCTTCTGGCAATTTCTCAGTCTGTCCATAAAAGATAAATCTTCCATTAATCAGTGGTTGCTGGTTGGGAACAATGCCAGATACAAATATGCAAGCTCCATATAACAATACCAAAAGGGACTTTGGAGCAAGATTATATGAGTTATCGCCCTCTGTAAGTTGTACAAAGTACTGCAAACTGCTAGCAGTAAATGTAGAATTTCAAGACGTTGATGGAGTGGTGGATAGTTTGCAGTTGAAGTTCACTGCAGACATTTATGAGTTGATGCAATTTGATACAAAGAACATAAAAATAAAATAAAGGGTGCACAGGATCAAAGAGGCCTGTGTGTATATGTGCACAGTTCATTAAAGGTGACAGGAAAGGTAGGACAGAATTGGTAATAATGGTATTCATAATTCTAGGCTTCACTGATAAGGGCATAGCATTTAAGAGCAGCGAGGTCAGAGCAAGTTATATAGAAGGCAAGCAAATGCACAGCAGAAAATGAGGGAAGACTGATGAATTAAACTGCATTTATTTCAATGCAAGAGGCCATGCAGGTAAGGCAGATGAACTCG